TTTCATTTTATTTCACGTTATTTCGTTTATATTTTTGTTTGTTTTACTTTAATTTATTAAATTTTTTGCTATATTTTATTTTATTTTGTTTTGCTTATTTATTTATTTTTTTTTTTTATTGTACTGTAAATTTTATAATATTTTATTTTCTTCATTTTATTCCGTTTAATTCTGTTTCATTTTTTTAATTTATTTTAACATAATTTTATTTAATATAATTTTATTTCAGTGTTATTTATTTTACTTTATTTTATTTTGTAATGTTTTACTTAGTTTAAAGTGATAAATTCAAGTTACCTTCATTTTATTTGATTTTATTTTATTTGGCTTAGTTTTTTTTCATAGTTTGTATTTTATTTTATTTTAATTTATTTTATTTTATTTTGTTTTATATTATTTTATTTTATTTTATTTTATTTTAATTTATTTTATTTTATTTTATTTTGTTTTATTTTATTTTATTCTATTTTCTTTTATTATATTTTATTTTAATTTATTTTTTTTTTTTTAATTTTTTGATTTTGTATTATTTTATTTCATATGCTCTTAATAATTTTATTCGTACATTACGTTTTTCATTTTGTTTTATTTCGCATTTTTATTTAACTTAATTTTTTTTATATAATTTTAGTAGTCTATTTCTTTCTTTTTTTGTTTTTTATTATTATTATTATTTTTTTTTTTTAATTTGATTTGAATCCTTTAAACTAGGAAGTTGAGTCACCATGTGTCGGTATGCAGTATAATTATAACAGCACATTGTAGTTGTACAGTTATTACTGTTAACTTTATCGTTATAACGCTTTTAACAATGACTGCAATCAACAACGATATCCAGTGACTTATACCTCCTTCGTATATATACATATATATATGTACATATATTAACTGTACTGTTATGTATTTTCAAGTTTTGTGTAATTCAAAAGCTTTCATTATGAATAGCACGCGGCCACTGTCCAACGAACTAACTGAGCAGCAGACCAACATGTCGACCTTCTAAGTGATGCCACGACACAGGCTGAGGCGTAAAAGGATAAAATGAGCACACAAATAAACTAACGGTACATGTGTGTGTGTGATAAGCAGTAGGAGTATTGAGGTAGCAGTACTTGGAATGTGTAAAAAACACTCACATAATGGGAGAGGGAGAGTAATTAACCATATATAATGACATGATGCTGTGGAGAGAGAGATACAGCCGATGGGAAAGGAGAGGTAATGGTCGCTGCACAATTGTTGTTTGTTTGGCATAAATTAATTTATTGCGCGCAATTTACATGGCTTAAACTGTTGTTTATATGTATGCGAGTGTGGAAGATTCGTATACTCATGTATGCATGTATATTTATTGTTTGCCACGCAGTCAACAATTTTACCGCAGGCCAATGCACATAAATTAATAAAATTGATTTAAAACAATTTGAGCACGACCGCAAAAACCGCTAAAACAACTATAAATACACGTAAATGAGGATTGTGGAATGTGATGGAAAATAAAAGCTAGTTTGTTTGGATGTCACAAAGGATAAAAATTTACATGAATATGCGGTTTTGCGCTTATAAAAAAATAATCTAAATTATTAGAGTTTATTTTGCGGTCTTAGATAATTGAGCATTAGTTAAACTTAATATTTACAATTAGAAGTTTATGAAGCCACAAGTAATTTCTCTAGCTCTACTTCACTAGCGAACGTTTTTTTTATAAAATATTTATTAAAAACCTTATATTGAACTAGGGGAATAATTTTTGGACGAGTAAGTACACGATTATTACTTTAATAATTTTATTTTCCTTCCTTTATCCTGGCTAATAAAACTTTAACACGAAAATGACCGAAAATCCTCCATTTGTGGTTTATATAAAAAATAAATCCAATATTTTAATACCCATTTCCATTCCAAAACTAATAAATGGAAGCATCAACCAGCGCGTACATATACCCATACGTATATTTTCCCACACAGAGTCGCATGCGGCAGTGCGTTAACCACAAAGCACAGTGTATTGTGGGATAAATGGCTAGGGATAAATATGGAAGTGGCAAACTGTAAAAGGATAAAAAGTAATGAAAAATAAAACTATGCGAGCCTGAGGGTGGACATGTCTACATTTGTTTGTATTTGATAGGTTTACATTGTATGATTGACCACGTGATTTTCTCTGTGGTACAGCGGTTGGTACGTAATAAAATTTGATTGATGACGTGTTGGGATTTTAGAGAATAAAATTAAATAAAGAGAGAAATAAAATAAAATTATATAAACTAAAATAAAAGAAATAATATAAAAAGATAAGAGAAAAAAAATTAAATAAAGGAAACCAAAATTAAATTAAATAAATGAAATAAAATAAAATAAAAAAATATTAAACAAATTGAAACAAAATAGAATAAAGTAAAATAACAAATTTAATTAAATTATAATAATAAAAAAACCTTAAATAAATTTGTAACATAAAATAGTATAAAACAAAATAAAGTAAATAAAACTTATATAAAATAAATTTTAAATAATTTAAACAACAGAATGATATAAATAAAATAAAAGAACATAAAATAAATGGAAATGAAATGAAATAAAATAATTTAAAATATTAAAAAATAAAATAAATCAAACGAAGAGATAAAATATTTTAGAATTAAAAACAATATAGGTAATATAAAATAGAGGGAATTTCAATTCATTGAGTTAAATAATATATAAAAAGCAATAATACGATAAATTGAAACTGAAAAGTGAAATTTACAAACGCTTAAATCAAAAAGAGGATAGAGTGGAACACAATGAAGCACAATAACACGAAATAAAAGATTATAAATTAAAATCAAAAAAATTATATAAAAAGATAAGATAAAATAAAATAACATAAAATAAAATGAAGAAAANACTGAAGCGATTTTCCGCCGAGCTCCTCCTCCAATTTGCGGTTTTGGGTCCTGATGTTTTTCCAACAAATGGGGGGATTTACAGTTTATATTAAGCAGCCTCCGAACGGCTGATGGTTTTTTATGAGGAGCTTTATTTCATGACATGGGGAACACTTGTTCTGCCAGGTAATAGACCTAGGACTTATCTATTAAATTATCTATAATTAAATTTTGATTTGCTTAAAATTTCGTACAAAAAAAACTATACTACATTTCGCACAAAAGAACCATTGGGAACACATTTCTTACCAAGAATATGAGTATCTATTTGCGAGAAGCCGTTACTGCCGGTCAGCTCTCAGACTGCTTTTAATAGAAAATGATGATTTCTAAATTGAATAACAGTAATTACTTGTTTCTAAAGCATTTAAGGCCAAACTCTTAAGAGAAATCTGCTTGTTCCAAGGTCAGTTGTATATGGCATGCATAGTGAGTTCACGGGGTTGCGTTGGTGATTCCAGCAACACAAGACAAAGCAAAGAAATACTGCGATAAGTGTAGGACTTCGTTTTCATAAAGATATATTAGAAATATATTTAATTTTCATATTAACTTAAGCTTTGAATCTCTACATAATAATAATAAGAATGTTTATATTTATATACTGCATATTCAACAAATTTTATATAAGAATTTATGTTTTACTATGAATTAAATATCTTAAATATCAACTTAATATTTTATTAAATACATTTTCAAATTCCATGTTGACAAAGTCTCTGGTAAATTCTAGTATTAAATAAATTAAATGAATAAAAGTACTGTATTTCAGCTTTACAGTTAGACATTTTCTAGATAAATGATTATAAAAATTGCAATTAAAATTACTTACCTTATTCTATGGTTTATATTTGGCGCTTCTGTAACCTCTTCAATTTATAGTGGGCGCCTTAATGTTTTACCAATAAATGGAACCCTTTTACTTATGTCAAATCTTCAGCATACCTTAGTGTAGTCCATGTATAAAAGCATCTAAATTGTACCTAACGACTTGCTCGTGTTCCAACCGGAAGTAGACAACGTCGCACAGCATAAAACTCCCTTTCAGCAAAGCTGTAACTGCAAGCGAGAGAAATAGTTTTGTTATTGAATTCTTATAGTTGCTAGCAATAAGCGCAACATAAATTCTATAATAAAAACCGGAAGTTAGTCAAATGATTTCTCTCACTCTCTCTTTTTATTCTCTCTCTTTCGATTGCTTATTTTTAATTAAATTTCCGCTACTACTTTTAGTTCGAATCCTCTTTAGTAATATTTAATTAAAAAGTTGCAAGGAATTCGCGCCTTTGCCATCTATTTTTTTTTTTTTTTTAAGCTTATTTCTTACTGCCACGACACCAACATTCCATTGAAAAAGCAAAAACGAAGACAAAAGCCGAAGCGGAATGCACCCGCTGTGCGACCAACAATCAATGAGTTGGAAAACTGTATTGGAGAGCCATGATAGAAAGCGGAAATAAAATGTGATGAAAAAATACACAATTTATTTCGGGTGAAATGAATACACACCAAACGCACGCTACAGTTCGTATGCCGCTCATAGAACTGTAAATGCCATCGATGGCTGTCGCAGCAAGAGCATGTGAACTAGAGCAAGAAAGTGCAATTTTCAAAAAAGCAAAACTCAATAGCATTGCAAACTCTAAAACTATCGTTGACAAGCGGTTGAGACCCGGCGGAAGGCAACGAAAAAAAAAAGTCGGAATAAAATGGAGAAAAAAAATTCACAAACTTTGTCCAGTTTTCAGCGCGTTGAATGCCTGGATTTTACAAAGTTTTGCACCACAACCGCCATTTTTGCTAATTAGAGCATGTTTAGCACTTTGCTTTTTGTTTTTGCCCCAAATGGCAGTAAACGAAGCTTCAGTTAACAAAAACTCTACATTTGCGAGTACCAGTTGATATCTGCGGTGTTATCGATAGTCGATAATTAAAGGCGGTGTTATGGTGAATTAATCACAGAAATAGAAAATTCTACTAATTATTTTCATTAGAATTATTATCAAAAACCAAAAAAAGGAAAAAAATAAATAAAATTTTAAATTATTTTCTTTTAATTTCTCTTTGCAGAGCTTGGGCATACTCGCCTCTATACCCGCCGGTCTACTCATTTTAGCACTCTTCGGGCTGTTATTGTATCTGCTCACACGTTGCTGCGATCGGAAGCCACGCAAGCCGAGTGCACAGCGTTGCCAGAGTTGTACATTAGTTATAGTTACGCTGATGACATGTGCGGCGATCGGACTGGGTAAGTAAATTGCTTAAATAAGTTGAAATAATAAAAATAAAATAAAATAATTAAAACAGAATTTATTAAAAGAAGTTAAAATAAAATAAAAAATTAAATAAATTACAAAAAATAAAATAACTTAGAATAAACAATTTGAAAAAAAATACTAAATCAAGATAAAATAAAATAAAAAATTAGTAAAATAAAGCAAAGGGAAATAAAATACAGTAAGATATTTAGAATAAATAATAGTAAATAAATTAATTAATTATATAAAATAAAATAAAGGAGCCTAAATAAACTGAAAAGAAAACAAAAAAATTTTAACAAATAAATAAAATTAAAATTAAATAAATTAAAATTAAGATATAAAATCAAATAAATTCATATCTCCAATCATAATTATCAAATATCTACTTCAAAATCGAAAAATTCGCATTTTTTTATTTAAAATGCCGAATTAGATTAATTTTAGAAATGCATAGTGAAGAGCTCAATGTGAGTACTTAAATTTTACGCTGAGTCTCTCTACCACTAATGCTTCATTAAAGCAAAAGTTATTCCCTTTTATGTGGAATGAGTCATACGTTGTACCTCTACATAAATCTGGTTGTAGAGCTTCAATAGGGAATTACTATCCCCCTGTAATGTTATGTTCTATCCCCAAAATTTTCGAAGCTTTTATAACCGATCAATTAGTCCATTTTTTGTCTTTAACAGGACATGGGTCCTGTAAAGTTAAATCAACCCTATCGAACCAGCTAGAATTCACCTCCCATGTCAGTAATGGTTTCAAAATTGGTAATCAAACGGTAGTTATCTACATTGACTTCAGCAAAGCATTTGACAAGATCTCTCATTCTTTACGCCACTTTAAATTCAATCTCTTTCTCAAGTGGATTTCATCGTATTTTATTGGTAAAAAATAAAAAGAAATTTTGAAATATTGTTCATCATGTGATGTTCCTCAAGGCAGGCACCTCGGCTCCATACTCTTCCTTATATACATCCATGACCTACCAAATGTGGTTCTTCATTCTAAAATACTCATATAGGCAGATGATGATAGAGAGCTTTTGCACCCGCTTTTATGTATCAAAACCTACATACTGAGTGCTTTAAATAATTAAATAAATTATCTCTCCTTTTCCCATGTAAAAGGCAAGTGTAGCCGCGACCTTCCGCGATCGGTTTCGGGTTCAGGACAGTCCGGATTGTTACTAGTTTTTTCGGTCACCGGACTTGGACTTTTCGATTATCCCTCAGATGCGCCCCTTAGTCGATTGGGCGGGTAACCTTGGGTTTGTCGTAAAAAAAATTAAAGTCAAGCAAATAAGTAAAATAAAATTTATGAAATTAAGTTAAAAAAAATTAAAACTAAAAAATAAAATTTATTAAACTAAGGAAAAAAAAACAATTAAAATTAGGAAATAAAACTGAAAAAATATGATATAAAAAAGTAAAAAATTAAATGAAGTAAAATAGTGAAATAAAAAAATATAATAAAAAAAAATTTAAATTTATTTACTTAAGGAAAAAACCAATTAAAATTAAAAAATAAAACTGCAAAAATATGATTTAAAAAAGTAAAAAGCTAAATGAAGTGAAATAAAAGAATAGAATAAAACAAAAAAGTTAAAAAAAATGATAAAAAAAATTGAATAAAATTAAAATGTAAAATAACATTAACCAAACAAAATAAATAGATTAATATATCAAAAAATATAATAAAACTTATTTTAATTAAGTTAAAATAAAATCAAACAAAAAATAAAATAAACTAAAACAAATTAAAAGAAAAAAACTAAATTAATTTAAAAAAATTAAAAAAAAAATGAAATAATAAAAAAAAATTAATAAACCAAAAATACACGAGCATAAGTGAAAAGATATAAAATTAAATAACTAAACAAAAAAAGTTAATTATATATATGGTTAATTTAATTTGAAATAAAATACAATAAAATACAATTGAATTAAATTAACCATATAAATTAAAATTAAATTAAATTATATAAATCAAATATATTAAAGTAAAATAAAATTAAATAAAATAAAAAAAAATTAACCAAATAAAACAACCAAAATAAATTAAAATATAATAATATTAAATTAAATAAAGTGAAAAATACAACAGCATAAATAAAAAGGAGTAAAAAAAAATTAAAACAAGATGAAATAAATTAAGTTTAAACAAAATTAAAGTAAATAACATAAAACCAGATAAATGAAATCAAATAGGAAACTAATATTAGTTAAAATTAAAAAAGAATAATACTATTGTATTATTTGATTATTAACGGAAGGCCATTATACTGTCTTCTTAATTAGCCAAAGCGATGGAATATATATTTAATTAGTTGTTTTCATTACGATGTTCATCACTTGATTCGCCGATTGTAATAATTCTTTTCTGCATTTTATTCTTATTGCCTTTTTAATGTTTTTTTACAATTTTTCTGTTACGAATTTATAATATTTTCTAATTATTTTTTGTAAAACCACAATAAAAAAAATATCTCAGGTAGTTTAAAGATAAGATATCCCTTGGATAATTGCCAAAGTACATATTTATTTGCTATATTACACCAAACTCTTAACTATTTCCACGAAAACAATGCGTCGGTAAACCGACAAGGAAAATATGATTGTAACAAAAAATGACAATTCAGAGGAAGTAAATATACAGAGAAAAATAGCAGCTAGCAAAATGAAAATAAAGATTTTATACGCAAAAAACGGGGAAAATACGAAGCTAGACATAAACAAAGCTGCGATGTCAGTAGCAGTAGTAAGGAAATATTAAGCCACCAGACACATGCTATCTACGAAAAAGGAAGTCAAAATAAAAATAATTGTCATACATACATACATATGAACACATAAATTGACATTAAATAAGGGCGGCCGCAAGCGCTCAGAGGTTAACGACTTTTTTGTAATCGCTGTTATTTTTTGTGGGTGTTTTTCTTACTCTTTTATCCTTTTCTTTCTTGAGTGTTTTTATTTAGTCTCCTTTTTATTTTATTCCTTTCTTTTTTTTATTTGTTATATTTGTCATCATATCTTTTGTATATCTATGCTTTTTTATCTTCTTATTTTTACTTTTATTTTATTTTTATTTTTATATATATATATATATACTTACTGTGATTTTTTACTTTCTTAGCAGTATCAAAATTTATCGTGGCACTCATATCTTGTTCAGCACTGTTTTTTCGTGCGTTTTCATCAGTTAAATGGAAACAGTATTTTTGTCGTAGCATACTTTAGAGCGCATAGCGATGTAGTGGCTTTAAAAATAAATCTCGCTTGAATTTTAACATTACTTTGTCAATAGGTAAGCTCTAAGTGTAAGATTTCAAAAAGTGTAGTCTGCTTTTAGGCGTTTTTTTTATAAAAGTGTTCTATCAGCAATTTTACGAAGGAAAAATTAACAATTTATAATACAAAAAACCATAGTTACGCTATTTTCATCCCAAAAGTAGGCTCCACTTATTAAATGCAGTCGAAAGTAGAAAGTATGCAAAGTATTCATTCTTGATGATTCAATTTGAAAAATTAATATTAATTTTAATGGGAAACTTTGGAACGTTTTGTTCATTGAGATAAAATTTTTCGAAATCCCACTCACAATATTTATATTTCCGACTTTTTTTGTCACATTTACCTTGTGTTGTAACAAATTCTTCGAATCCAAATATACTAATATAGGAGCAAACTCAAAACTTCATAATTTTATTTTACTTTTGCAATGCTGCAAAATAGCTTGATTTTGTGTTTTCCAGTTTTATTTAATTTTTATTTCATCTTACTCTGTTATGTAATGTTTTTACTTATTTTTTACAACCCTAAATGTAGGCAACAGCATTTCAATTTCAGTTCCAATTTAAACCTTATATAATTAGTCTTGCGGTTTTCTTTGACTTTTGTCATGTATGCCAAATGAATTTAATTGATGATAATTAATTGTAGAACATTTACAATTTGCAAATTAAACTCTTGACATTTGCATGAAAACTTGCATAAATGGTATACCGTAATTGGAGCAAAAACAATAACAAAGTCTAGCATACAAGCGGCTGCAGATATGAAATTTATAAAGCGAGTAAATTGAACGAAATCTAAGAATCAATTAAAGACGCTTCAATATGAATGGGAAAAATGGCAAACAAGGTGTAAAAAAATGCATGAAAATTATATGAATATTTAAAGAATAAACTGAAAAAAAATATTAATTAAAAAACTTTAAAAATAATCATGCGGAAAGTGAAATATTTGCAAAAAATGCACAAAAATTAGCAACAAAAAATCGTTAAAACAATGTATTTACATATTATTTAAAAAAAAAAATTAATTTTTTATATATAAAATATTTTTTCTACGATTTTTGGTTGCTAATTTTTGTGTATTTGTCAGAGAAAAAAATTTATGAATGCTAAATAAAAACTAACAAGAAAAATTAACGAAAAGGCTAAAAGAATACTTTTCTTTTCTAACTAAAAAAAATTAGTTTTTTTTTTTTCAAAAAATGTAACAAATTGCAAATTTTCATCAAGGTTAAATTTAATAAGTTTAATTTTTTCTGAAAAAAATTAAAACATTTATTTGGACTTTTAAAAACAGTAAAAAGTTGGAGAAAGTGAAGAGTTGACTAACCAAAAATTTAAAAAAAAAACTCTTTTTGGTAAAAAAGGCAAATAATTAATTCCAATGAAATCAAAATGTACCAATAAAAGTGGGTGGAAAATATTAACTGAAAAAAATTAGATATTCCAAAAAGTTATTTAAAAAAAACAAAAATTTTGGATTTTTTTTTAAAAGGAAAAGGTTACAAATTGGAAATAAAAACGAAAGACTAAATGAACTAAAAAAATTTGATATCGGGGAAAATCATTATTTTTTAATAAAAATGTTTGAATAAATTTTTTTTATATTTTAAGATTTAAATTTTTATATTCTAAAATTTAAAAAATAAATTTATTTTGAAGAAGTATTTTATTTCGAAAAAATATGTA